CAATACCTGGAATAAGGTGGTCCTTAAGAATTTGAACGCCTTAATGCACTGTTTGGTTGCCTCTCACGAATGCCATGAGATGTTCTTTCAGCGCAAATTATACCTCATACCATTACAGATCTACAACTTTATCGAATGCCTTGGATTCCTTTCTGACGCCAGTAGCATTCCAACCGATCCTGANAATTGAACTACGCTCATTGGTGAAAATCACACTGTCCCGCTGCTCACTCCAGTTAATGTGGCCACTGGACTTTTGTTTGCTTATGTTATCGTGAGTTAGTCCTAGCACTTCTCTCATCTTTCCCACCCGACTGGGGGCGCTTTGGATTAACTGTTATACTCTTCAGACACAGTACAGGTGGTGGTGGCGCAGTGGTTTGGTCACTGGCGTGCTTTGGACCCTATGGTCCGAGGTTCGAGCCCCGCTACAGCCACTCAACTTTAGTGGTAGACAGCTTTGCTGTCATCCGATTCAATACCACGCCTAACCTAACGGAGTTTTATGTGGTTCGCCACTCCAAGTCCCGGGGCTTGGGCTACCGGTTTCCATGACGGAACAGCAGGTCTTCATGACTATGGTGTTCACCCCGTCTTCTGTTCATCACACAAATGTGTGTAGTAAAAAAACTTCGTTTTGGCCTCGCTGAAGTCGTTATATGGTCCGTATCAGTCTTCTTTTCATCATCCGTCACGGTTTCTCCCATGCTGAATTCAACCTTATTGACACGAACTGCGTAAACTATCGTCGATTAGTTTTGATTGAAGGACTTTCCTCGATTATCCCCACGTCCTTGCGCTCTTTTACACACACACACACAGTAACTTGAGACCGACGAACCTTAATTCCCAATTAACTCTGGATGTAAAATGCCTTCGAATATTCATTAAATACCAGCAATGATGAACTTACTGTATAATGAAGCGAAGAGAAAAAGGTCATTTCTTCCTCATTATGTTCAACACTGGCAATGGTGCGAGGCTCTTAGACATGAGATCATAGGGACTGGTGAAACCAACTTCAATCTACATTGTTCAAGAATTTTTGGTTGCTCACCAAGAAATCAACGGTGTCGAATACCAGTTCAAAAGGAAGAAATATGTACATCATATGTGCTAAGAATGCTGATGAGTTGGTAAACTATATTCTGAAAGGGGATCCCACAATTTGGAATTGTCTGTAATGGTTCCAAACGTTCGTTGATCGGCGTTAAATTCGCTTAGAATAATATGGAGCATTACAAAAAGTTATATCAAAACGCAACTCCGAAGTCAAAATGCCAAAATGATGGCGGGTGACAATAGCTTGTTTGGAAAGCATTTCTGGTGATGCCAAGTCTCAAGTCACAAAGGATCATTGTCAGCATGCATTCAATCATGTTCGCGTACATTATCCGACAGCTATAAAATGTTTGATTTTTAGTAGATTTGATAGTTAATTCTTTCTTTGATTTACCAAACGTTTTGTAAGTGGGAGATAAGTTCTATTGTTGTTGAAGTCAATATGCCGAGTACTTAAGAAACTTCGTAGAATTTTGAGCACATTTCCAATTACATTAGGCTGGGTTTTCATTTTACGTTTCTGGATAGTTTTATACAAAAGCTCTCTGTAGGCAGTGTTTTCCAGGGCACGTGGTGATCAAAGGCAAATCAAAGCATGCAGTTTGTGCATTGTTAGAACCAAACGAACATGGAAAATCCACAGACTGGGTTAGGCAAGTCGACATTTTTCCTTCCGTGGGATTGCAAATGGTAAAACTATCAGCCACAGGTTTATCCCAGGTTAGTCAAAGCAGTCACCATGAGTTGGATTTATTTTCATTTCAGATAAACGAGGAATCATCGTTGATCCCAACGGTGAGTGATTCGAGGGGAGAAACTATCTAATAATGGAACTAGAAACGGAATATAGGAATCAAAGAAAGTAGATATTTCGGTCCCAGTACACGAGGGAGATATACACCCTTTGATGATGATTGTACTTTTGTGACAAGAAAACTTAGGGTGACAACGAACAGACAAATAGTCAATACATTTTTCAGAATAGTTATATATAACTTGCCCCACCAGGAAACATTGTTGTAACTAGCCACACTGCCTCCGGTTTTTTCCTACTTTACTGTCTATCCTGCCGGTAGCAATCAAACCCTTATATTCGCACGAGAACAGTGCTCATTAATTCTAAGCTCAGTCTGCTCGCTAATCGCAACCTTGTGAAAAAGTCGTCCACTGTATCCTAATATCATTTGTCGATGTTTCTTACGCAACAATACTTCTGAAAGCGAATGACCCATTTTACCCAATAGATCGACTGCGTTCTGTTTCGTTCAGTTCGGTGAGCTGAGCCAGGAATGGGCGAGGTACATTTAAGGTGGTTATGGTTGCTAGGACTTGGATGACAGCCAGCCCAATGACCCAAGTTCACCTCAAGAGCTCCAACCTGTCACTATTATTCAGATAGACCCATGATACTCATAATGCAAAGTATATCGTTCGGATTGCACCGTAAGCCCGAAACTCGTCACTGGTCCTAGTTACTGTAGTCAGCTTTGATTATTGAGCTATCGTCAATGTTGGAGCAACTACGAACAAATGTACTTTAGATGTAGTGCGCACGAAACGGTGCATCGCCCTTCGTGCATATTGAGTGGCGTCCAGCTTGGTTGTCACATGCAAATAGCATGACTTCACGGACCCACCGATTCGACGTCCGTCACAGAGCTCGAATAGATACACGACTGAGGTCTGCCTCATTTCAACACAGAAAGAGGTGATCAATCCAGGGGTAGAAAAAATATATGATCAATCGACCAATGAGATGCGCTGAAAGGAAGCAGATCCAACCACAGGGTTTCTTTCTCAATAGTTTCTCAAATTTTACTTAAAATGGCATAGTCCAAAGCCCACTGGATCTACGATCAACATCATGGCGTTCCCGGGTAGGGCGGACCGACGAGCAGTCACCCCACCCCCACCCCGGCCACTGCAAATTTCAATCATACTTGGTAACTCACTCAAACAGTACTTTTGTTTGCCTATGGAGAAATCAGCTCATTCCGACTGGGTGGAGTTCGGACAGACCCGGTCCAATCGGAAACATTTGGCCGCTGGAGCACTAATCACTCAGGGCTTCCCAGTGCAACGCGATTTGTGGGGTTCACTTAAAAGTTACAACGGTTTCACTTTAAGTTGAAAAGTTATACCTTTTCAACTTCAACACAATTCGAACCGATGTCAAATTCTTATGCCTACCCTTTCTCGGGTATCATTAACATATCAGTGGACTCACAGTTACTCCCGACTAGTAGTATGGGTTAAGTGACGTTGATTTAAATAATCATCCTCCAGACTTAACGTTCACGAACAATCTTCATTCAGTCAAGCATACATTATGAAGTATCAGACTTGCGTCACGCTCTTATGAACTGAGGACTTTGCGTGTAGGTGGATTCTGAAGAATGATCAGTTTAAATCGTTCCCGAGTTTCATCATCATCACTTGTACCACTGTTTGTGGTGCGCAACTTCCTGATTGCTTAATCGCATCCAGCAAAGAAACTGGATCTTTTTCGAGCAAGATCTAGATAAAGCGCTCTATCGCTATATCCAGACGGGGCATGAGTTAATTGTTCAAATCATGCGCTACGGTTGCTGTGCACTGAGGCGCGTCGTGTACTGAAGGTGTCGGAATCGAAGTCCGTCATAATTTGTGCAACACGTTAATTAGAAGCACAACGTTATTTTGTATTGTCTCGGTATTATTGTACTTCTATTTGTTGTCATAACCTATTGACTATCCACTCGTCATTTTTTATGTGCTGTTTTTTGTCACAACTGATTGAAGTACAAAGTTATCCAATAAATTCTAATAGATTTCACCTTTGTCCAAAGCAAACTCACCGATGAATTGGGAAAGTAATCCATGGTTTTACGTTATTGACAAGCGGCTTTGTTCACTCTGTAAACAAAATTTTAATGTACAACAGAAGGGGCGAACCCCATATTCTCGGGGACCTTTTGTTTACTCATTATACCGGTCAACCCCTGAACCTCGAACTTAGTGACAAATCACATTGGTCCCAATGAGATAGGTGTCATGATCTGGACGGCGGTACAGCTACCTACCACCAAAGTTATATGGAGGTGGACCGGGTCGCACTTCAGGCCTTATGGGCCACAACAAGCTAGTGACAGCGACAGATGCCACTAAACCATCCGCAAAAACAATACAGTCCTCTCTTACATCCTTTCTTGCTATTTTTCTCAGGGTTTTGCTTCTGGAGATGTGAACCGTGATGCTGCTGCCGTGCGTTGCTTCCTTCGCGAATTTAAATTCCCCACTGTTGTGATCGCACAGAGTTTCGCCAAAAACATGGGCCTCTATGGGGAACGTGTGGGCGCGCTCTCTTTGATTTGCGATTCGACCGAGGAAAAAGAACGTTGCATGTCCCAACTGAAAATTCTGATCCGTCCTATGTACAGTAATCCGCCCATTCATGGGGCTCGTATTGCAGCAGAGATCTTGTCCGATGAGATCCTGCGTAGTAAATGGTGAGTTGTTCGTTGGCATCGGTGTTTGTGAGACGTCTGTAATGTGCTTCCAGCCCTACTGCTCTGGACCAAGTATGCCAACAACCCATGACATTTCAATTGTTGGGTGTTCAGAACACGTTAGTGCTCTGTGAATAGTAATATTAGTAATAATATCAGTCGGTGCCTCCTAAGTAAATCACGTATGTGCATTTCTTGCACCGTTCTGTATGGACTTCTGACCATTGTTTTTGTTATTACTCTCATTCGTTCATCTACTTCAGAATAGCAATAGTTGCTTGTGAGTTTTGCAACCTGTCGTTAATTTTTACTCGGTTTCAACGGAGATGAAAACAGTTAGTGCTGCGTAAATAACTGCACTAGATATTTCGTATAGTTCCCGTATTACTTCAATATATGCGCAATCCGGTTGACATACAATCTTAGATTCTTCCTGATCCGATCACTTAATTAAGTGCGGCACTCTTCGGCCACCAAGTGATGACAGCGTTGAAGGTGAATGCAACCGTCTCATTTATCTAACTTTAACGAGCAACTAGTTAGACGGCTAATTGTGAACTGTGTAAATGCTGATATCACATGTAAATAGAAACAATCGAATATAGCTTTCGTAGAATTGGGTAGTAAAGGTAGTCAGTAGTTTCAACGGTAACGTAAGTGGACACCGCACGAAGTGCAAGTAAAAATAGCATGGGCATGCTTTAAATATTTTTAGTACATGACAAGCATGATGTACAGTAAGTAGATAAACGCCATAACCATAAAAACTACTGTGCAGCAGTTATGGAGGGGTGCCTTCGCTATTGAATCAATGAAAGCCCGAAGATGAGCTGTCTGTGGCTGCTACTGATGTACTTTGGGTAATATTATAAGGTTCAAACCTCACCACTATCACGCAACTTCAGTTTGTCGATAATCGTTAAAAATCAGCACCAAACTTTTACACTTGTCTCCTCTTTGTGTTCCTTCCCTTATATAGGCTGGTGGACGTAAAATCTATGGCCGATCGGATTATTTCGATGCGCGAAAGCTTGGTTCGTTATTTGGCGAAGGAAGGCTCCCAACGCAATTGGTCCCATATTGTCAATCAAATAGGCATGTTCTGTTACAGCGGTCTTGTGCCTGAACAGGTCAGTTCTACTGGTTTGAATATTGACCTCTATTCGATTTCGACTTGAACTAGTGTTGACCTTTCATCTTGGTTGATCGCTATGGCAGTTCCCATTCTAGTACCGAACATAATACCATTTGACAATGGTAGATGATGGTTAAAAAACGCACTAAGACAACTTCTCATAAAACTTGACCATCTCGAGTGGTATCTAGTGTTATAGTTTGGATCGGTCTTATAACCGAACGTGTGCACGGCACTTCAAGTTTCTAATTGTAACGTTGGCCTCCAACAGCGTATTGCATGAAATGAAATGTCGCATTCATGTTTCAAAAGACTGACCTGTTTTCCCCTCTAGATGTCTGCTCTTACTCTCCTGGAAAAGATATTCGTTTGCGTTTTTCTGTTTTAACAGGCAAAGTAATGTTCGCCGGCGCGGATAAACCGAAGCATCATTCTATCCGGTCGTTTTCGTCTGCCCCACGGCAACAGAGCAGGGAACACATTTCTTCGGTTGGAACCGTTTAACGCCGTAGGGTAATTCTCGAACTCACGTCAAACTGTGCTCATCTAACTTAATTTAATATCCACGCTTCACCTGTCGTGCACCGGGTGACTGCTCGCTCAATACCAAGGGCTTACCGACATCAGATTGCGTGAACGGTCAAGATCAAGCTCTTATTAACTTTCAGATTCTGTAGTGCTGGCCGGTGGCAACCGGGTGAAACGTTGAGGTTCGTATGTCCTGCCCCAAATAGGTTGCCACGGCGCGCGATGTTTGCCGAGGCAGATAGTAGATGAGAAAAAGCCAAGAGTGGCCAAACTAAGAGCTGGCACGAGAGTATGAAAATCCTAACAGGGAGACTCGGTCACATAGGTCCCGTAGGGCTTCAGGTGGTCAGATGGTCAAGCAATTACAAGAAATCCAGGGTCATCCATTGCAAAACATTTTAAAGCAACAAGACACAGTTGACCCAAATTTGTCTTTCAAACCCTTTTTACATAATCGCAATGCCGAACTGGCAAGTAGTGAAACGCTGCTTATTCGGTTACATCATCCGACCTTATGTGCTCAAGAGATTTTAATACTACCAATCCACCTACCGTGGAGTTGACCTTCTACTTCTATGTTTAGTAATTTTTGTATGCTTGCACACGTTCATTCACCATAACTGAATAACTCCATGTGCTATACATATGCTTGTTTGTTTTGAGTAATCGATTGCAAAGATCAAACGAAATGTCGACGTTTCACAGCATTTGTTTTCTTTCCATATTGATGGAATGAATAAAGGAGACCCAATGCTTCAAATAATCGCTTTATCCATGTCTACCCCGTGCATGAGGGTTACGTAATGTTCAGTTTGACTACAATGGAAATGAATGAAACAGTCACACTGTGATCCAGTCCTTTCTCTTTCTTCTCAGGTGGACCGTCTAACTCGCGAGTACTCCATCTACCTGACTCGTGATGGGCGTATGAGTATTGCCGGTCTGTCATCGCAAAACGTGGAATATTTGGCACACGCAATGCATCAAGTTACCAAGTAATGAGGCTCGTTCACACTGCCAGCCCCGGATCCAATCTGTTGTGAACTCTGACCAACCCCCTTGCGCGCACAATCCACAATGCCATCTTGTCCAACCATCACTCTCCTTCTCTCGCATTTTTCGAATCAAGTCTTCGCTTTTCCAGTTTAACTGTTCTGTTGATTGCTTGTAGTCACCTGATCGGCTATTTTTCACTATTCCCATTCCTGCGGGACGTTTATCATTTGGTCCGGAATTCTAGTCCCTTTTTTCTGTCTCTCTTGGACTGATCTCTCTTTGTCGTTTCGTTCTGCCTTAAAATCAATTGTAAAGTACTCTGATCGAATTGCCATTTTTGAGACTGTTCCGATTGTGGATTGAATACATGTAATGTTGAGTCACGCAATTTTCGGACGAAGGCCACGGCTGTTCTGGCATAAAACAAAGAAAGTATCAGGGGGGTTAGTCAAGTGGGTATTGTTAGATTTCCGGTTTGATAGTCTCGTGACCGTTCAGGTCAGTGGTTAGAAACACTGTATCTTTAACTTGGTAGTGCTCTGTACATTACCTCTTGCACTGTTCAACGACATAAATATTCGAAAGACAGCAACCGAAACCGGTGCGCGGAAGT